CATTGATATCAGTTATTCTATTTCTTCTAGAAGAAGCTAAACTTGATAAACATTTTAAAAAAAACCAAGCGATACAACCACAATCTAAAAAGAGAAGATATCATTCATTTTGATAAGACATATTATATATATATAGTTGTGCAAGTAAACTGTGTACTTCTAATTGAAATTCTAGACGTTCATTAAATACAAGAAATTTATTCGTATTACAAAACCGAATAAATTTCAAAAGAAAAATAATAATGTTTCAACAATTATTATATTTGTTGTTTGTCATATGTATTTCACCATCGAATTCAAATCGTATTTCATTAGTTGGTGATGATTGGACAATAACAAATAAGTTAAATCATACAGCACAAGGTCATATACCTGGTACAATTCATACAATACTTCTTGCTGCAAATCAAATTTCTGAACCATATACAGAATATAATGATCTTGATTTACGTTATTTAATACATAGTAATTGGTTATTTACAAAAAAATTTAATTTAACTTCTGATTTTCTTGCTTCAAATCAAATTACAATACATTTCGAACAAATTGATACAGTTGCTAATATAACATTAAATACATGTCCTATTGGTAGAACTAATAGTATGTTTATACCTTATACATTTAATATTATAAATTCATGTTTAAAACTTGAAAATGAAATTCAAATTGATTTTGAATCTCCTGTTATTTATGCATTAAAACAAGCTGATGCATATAATGATACAGTACCACCTGATTGTACACCTCCAGTTCAAAATGGTGAATGTCATGTACAATTTATTCGAAAAGAACCATGTTCATTTAGTTGGGATTGGGTAAGAATTTATCGATAATACAAATATTTTCATATATGTAGTATGAAATATTTCTTAAGACAAATTAAGATGAACTCCAATTTTTTTATACGTAAAGATTTGATGAAAGTTTGACGTTTCATATCGAGAGAGATTGTTTTATAATATCTATTATTAGATACATTATTTCACTATTCTTTTACTTAGACCTCTAAACTTGTAATTAGGAAGTAGTTCATATGTTATAATGACACGCTATTAGTATACATCTTTGATTGTATATTCAAAACATCTGTGACGGTGTGAGGAGAAGCTTCCAATGTCTACCCTATATACTTCAACACTTCATTTAGATCGTGTTTCATAAAACAGCACACGATTTAAGTCAATCAGTTAGTCTTAATATCATAGAAAAACAACTCATGGGTAATTGAATTGTCTTATAGAGAAGTCTAGATAGTTTCGAACTATTTCATTGACGATCCTACAAGTAACCATGGAGAGTAATATTGGCAGGTCATGCTTCTAGAGTTAAACGCACCTCTAACTAATATATCGCTTTTGAGTAAAGACTATATGCATTATGTATATCCAAATAAGCTATGAATACCATGAAACGAGTTCGCACCCTTAGCTTATGCCTACTGAAATAACGTATTTTTATGATAGTTTTCAAATAAATACTGTAGCTTCTCACAGAAACACAAGGGAAACTTATTTTCAAGTTTTGATTTGAAACTTTGAATAGAGACAGATTTAAACGAGAATACTTCATTCTGAAAATTTCAAGTCGAAATTTAATAATAATTTTTCTCAGTGTTCTTGAAGAAGACTATGGCATTCATTTAAAACCTACCCCGATATTTGTGCTATCTATGTAGAAATAAGCTAAGACTTCGAACTTGTTTTCAGAATATTCAAACTGTAATTTGGGTTTATATGATACACATAATCTAGATTCAAAAACGATTAATCAATTGGAAGATTTCCTTCATAAGTCATTTTTAAATGTTAAATCTTTAGTCATTCGTCGATGTATTTTTAAAGATAGATGCGAGATTCAAATAGGTGATTGATCTATCCATCGACTTATCATGTTTTTCCTAAATTCTCAATAAAAAATTTAATATAAATATTTAAATATAAAGTGGAAAATTTCTACCATTGAAAGTTGCAAAAAGATTTCTTTTTTTTATTACTTTGACTGCATACGACTCTTTCAAGTCGGTACTTATTGATATTAATTAATACGAATAGTTTACAAATTCTTATTATTTCTAAGTTACATGTATTGCGTCCTAATAGAACAGAATTCTATATAACCTCTTCAATTAGTTAATTAAATACATCGAAAATATCTTTAATCTTAATAATTTTTTTTTTCATTGCTGTGACAATTATTTAATGCATTAGTTCAATAGATTTTTCTCCTAGGTATGTCATTAAGATATGCATGACTTTTTCGCTTTCTTATAAAAACAATCTCCTATATCCATTCAATTATCTTCATAATTTCAGCACGTAAAAAAGTGCTCAAATCATGACAAAGAGGCTTGTTCAAAGCTTTGAAATGAATCTGCTCAATTCTTTATGAAGTTTAATCACAAATAGTTGTCAAGAGCTTGAAAGTACGATCGATCTTTAGTTAGAATCAGTATATAAAATACTACATAAATGTATGAATACTCCTTGTATCTTGTAAATGTTTGATGTATTTCAATAGTAACAGTTATTTCACTTAAAATTTTCCTTTTCTAGGGTCCAGCTTTTGCTCCAATTGGTATTACAGGTGATCTATATCTTGAAGGTGTAAATAAAACTGAAATAATTATTGAACTTGAAAGTGTTAATCTTGCTTCCTATACTACAGATCATAAAACTTGGCAAGTTGATGTTATGTTGAGTAGTAATAATGATGAATTTACAAGTAAATTAAAATTTGTATTAGAAAATACAACATGGTCATATGAAACTTCAGTAACATTTAATCATAATCTAACGATATCTTTATCAATATCAGATAATCATGTATTAATGTGGTGGCCTAATGGTTATGGTGATCAACCATTATATAAATTAGTTGTTTCAAATCAAGAAAATATAATTGGTTCACGTTTAATTGGTTTTCGTACTGTTCAACTAAAGCAAAATGAATATGAAGCTGGAATAAATGGAACATCATTTTATTTTGCTATTAATTTTCAACCAATATTTATTAAAGGAAGTAATTGGATACCATCAGATTCATTTCAAGAACGTGTTAGTGATGAAAAACTTGAACGTTTACTTCGTTCAGCAAAATTATCTAATATGAATATGTTACGTATTTGGGGTGGTGGAATATATGAACGTAATTCATTTTATGAAATAGCTGATCGTTTAGGTATAATGTTATGGCATGATTTTATGTTTGCTTGTAGTCTGTAAGTTTATTTAAATGATTATTATTATTAATTTAATCTTATATTTAAAAAAAAAAAATTTAGTTATCCGGTTGATGAACCATTTTTAACAAATGTTCATGATGAAATTATTTATCAAGTTAAACGACTTCAATATCATCCATCTATTGTACTTTGGGCAGGTAATAATGAAAATGAAGCTGCCGTTGCTCAAAATTGGTATGGTGTACCAGAAGAAAAAATGAATAAAACAAAAGATGATTATAGAAAATTATATGTTGGCACAGTTATGAATGCTGTTAAACAAGTTGATAAAGGAAATAATCGACCATTTGTTACTTCATCACCATCAAATGGACTTGAAACAATAATTGAAAATTATATTGCTAAAGATCCTCAAGATCCACTTTATGGTATAGATTATAAAAATAGAATTAAGCTTGTTTTCTTTTGAAACGAATTTCTATTTTTCTTAGGTGATGTTCATTTTTATGGATATCATGATGATTCATGGGATCCAACAACATATCCAATAACTCGTTTTCTATCTGAAACCGGTATTCAATCATTACCAAGTTTAGATACATGGTATCAAACTACAACAAATTCATCGAATTTAAATATTAATAGTTCATTTCTTTTACATCGTGAACATTCAGAAAATCAATTAACTGAAATGATGTTTGTTATTTTAATTAATCATAAAAATTTCACTTTCATCTTTTTGTATTTTCTAGGAAACATATTGATAGTAATTTACCATTACCAGTAACCAATGATTCATTAAGAAATTTTGCTCAATTAATTTATTTAAGTCAAATACATCAAGCTATGACATTAAAAAGTATAAGTGATCTTTGTCGACTTCATTCATCAGTAGATATGATTAACCCAAAAACAAGTCAAGGGTAAATTTATTTTCTAAAAATATTTTATTTCTTATCATTTCTTTTTTTTTTTTCTTAGTCATACGATGGGTTTAATGTATTGGCAAATAAATGACATTTGGCAAGCACCAACATGGGCAACAATTGAATATGGATTGAAATGGAAAATGAGTCATTATTATGTTGGTCATATGTATGCACCTGTTTATCCAATTGCTATGCTTACACCTTATTTAGCTAATGTAACAGATGAAAATGCTCAACTTTCATTTCATGTTGTTAATGAAGTATTAAATAATACATATGGTGCATTAATATGTTCAATATATACATTAGATACCTTGACACCTCGTTTATCATTTGGAGATGATATTATATTTAATTCACCTGGTATAGAAAATGTAATGAATTTTCCATATTCAACATTAATGAGACGTACTAATTGTAAAGATAGTTCTCAATGTATAATACATTGTTCATTAAATTATAATGAACATCAAATAGGACAAACTTTATTTTTAAGTCGACCAAAAAATTATCAATTATTTAATCCTAATCTTCAAATTGAAAGTATTAAACAAATATCATCAACAGATTTTAATATAACAATAACTGTTGATCGACCAGCTTTATTTGTATGGCTTGATATAGCAGCTAATATTACTGGTTATTTTTCACGAAATGGATTTAATATGTTTCAACCAAGTACGAGTGTTATTTTTCATTCATGGACATCAATGGAAAATTTTGATAAAGCTAATTTTGATATACGTTATACTTCATTGTTTGATGTTACATTACCATGACTTTTTTTTTCTTTCCTATTTCTTTTTAAAGAAAATAAATAAAATGTAGAAGTATAAAAACTTTTTGTTCTAATTATTAGATCTGAAATTTGCTTTTTCTGAAACAAAAAAATGTCTTCTGAACAATTGAATCTTGCTGATTCAATTAAAAAAGTACATCAACAATTACGTCATGATGTAAATCAAAGTATGAATTATGATACAAAAAAACTTGAGAATCTATTGTTATTATTTAATTCTTAGCACCAGAAGCTGCTGAAATGATTTGGAATGCTCATGTAGCTAATATAGATAAATTGAATAAATATGCAAAATCCATGCGTCAACTTGCTGAATATCATTGGGCAGAAAAAGCTCATGGTCAAACACGTTTAACATGGTGTTATGAAACTATTAAAGATTATTATCATGGGAATGAAATAAGTGGTCTTGAAAGAAAACGTGCTCGAGATAAACGAAAACAGACTTATACAGACATTTGTGAAAACTGTCAAATAAGAATTCAGTAGGATTATTATATTAAGATTATTTATTTTGATTATTTTTTTAATTTTAAGACAAGGAATTACTAAACCACATGTACTTGATGTTGGGTAAAGGCTAAGAGTTTTCTTAATTTATTTTAAGTTTTTTATTTTAACTTATTTAGGAGTTGTTACAATGCATTTTCTAATTTTACTGATCTCGAAACAATAGCAATTGATATTGCACCAGCTGATGAAGTGAGTTTTAATAGAAGTTTTTTTTTTTGTGTTGGAATTATAAAACTCTGCATTAGATTAGTTTAGTCAGTACATCGTATTGATTTTTTACGTCTTCCACAACCACCTTTAATATGTATTCATTCATTTGATGCTATTATTTTTTCACTTGTTCTTGATTATTTACCAACATGTCGTCAACGTCTTTCAGCATGTCTTATTGCTCATCAACTTTTAACTTGTCTTGGTTTATTACTTATTGTCGAACCTGATTCAACTTTAAGGGATAATCGACAAAAATCTTGGCGACAAGCACTTAATTCAATTGGTTATTCTTTAGTATCATATGTTAAAGTAACCAATTTATATTGTATGGCGTTTCGAAAAATAATTCAACAAGTAACAATAAATGAAGATGAATATGAAAAAATATCTCAATTATTTAATATTCCTCAAGATAATATTACTATTGATAATGAATCACAAAAACTTGAACAAAAATCTATTCCTGTTGATCAAGATTTGTTTAATGAACTACCATTTTCCTTTGATTAGAAAAAAAAATTGAAATTATTTCATTTGTGCGAGAAAAAAAAAACCTACGAATGTAAAAGTAAAATATAATTTTCATGAAAATTATCAAGAGAACTTTTATTTTAAATTAAAATTTATTCCATCACAAAAAAAAAAAAAAGAAATTCTTCGATATTTAACGTCTCGAACCACAATGAGCACAATATCTTGCTGAAGCATTATTAAATATACTACCACATTCACCACAACGAACAGCTGTTGGAGGTGGTGGTCGTCCAACAGCTGTTGGTCTCATTGTATTATATTGATTATTGCGATGCTGATATCTTGTTTCACCATATGAAGAAGGAGCAGGTTTTGTCGGTGATGCTCGACGCGTATATGAACTAACTTCATCATTTCGTTGACGAGCCCGTACATTTAAACTTGTATTTTCTTGTGTACGTCCCGTACGCATAAGTACCGGTTGTTGAACAGAATGACGATTCGATGGTTGATAATAATCTTCATCCTATATTGTACAAAAATTCATAAAAAAAAATGTATTTGTTTTGTTCTTTTTAATATAGTAGAATAACTTACTTCAGATGCATAATAATTAGATCGAGGTGTTCGTTCTGGTTGAGAATCGAAACCAAATACTTTTCGCAAGCTCCAACCACCGCCACCACTATTAGCAGGTTGTTTACGGGGTGGTGGTGGCGGCGGTAGTGGTTGTTGTTGACGATAACTTGAATATTAAAATAAATTTAAAGAAAAAAAATTGTTTCATAAGCTTACTCATGTGGATTTCGACGAGCAATCATAGGAGCTGAATTGCTATGTTTGTGACCATTACTATAAACATCATGTGAACTTGAATATGCACTTGTACTATATGACTGTTGTTGTTGTCGATATTGAGATGGTTTTTGTGGTGGAAGTGTTCGTCCCTAGATAGGACACAATTTTCAATAAATATAATTTTTTTTTGAACACTAACTCTACCCTGTCATATTGCTGAGTAGATCTAGAAGGTTGTACTTGTCTTCGATCATGTTGAGTCTGACAACTAAATAAATATATATATATATGTATGTTACTAAGAAGATAAAAAAAAAGAACTATTATTATTACAATGGTATATGTCGTTGAGCGACATGTTGATTGAAATTGCGATGGCAATATGGACAATTAACATAATCTTAATGAATAATATAATAATGAGAAAAAAAGAAAAGAATAATATTAATTAACCTGATGGAACTTCACTTGGTCGAAAAGCAGGCAATGGTGCTCCTTGCTTCATAGCACGAGTTACGGAACGTGCCTCTCTTATAGATTGAATTAATTGTCGATGTTTTTCTCTCCAATTTGGTTTCTGTCCATATTTTGACTAGAGGTTTTTTTTTTACAAGATACAAACATCAACTATTCTTTTATTCCTACCCTATCATCCTGAGCTCGAACTTCACCAGTATAAACCTAATTTGTAAAATACAGATGCTAACAATCGTACAGAAAAAGAAAAACAATTAAACTTTTACCTGTTGCGTTTTTTTAGTTGCTTTGTATGGTACGTCAGAATTAGTAGCTCGTTGTTTACCTGCATCAAATATTCTTCGTTGTTTATTTGCAACTTTTCGACAAATAGCCTGATGCTTATTCTATGATTGCAAAAAATATACATAAAAATCAATATTTTATTTTCTGTAATTCTATTAAAATTTCTACTGAATTGAAATAAGATTTTAATAATATGAATAAAATAAAATTCAATTATTTTTCTTTTTGCTACTCTGGGATACCTATAGAACATTTTAATTAAACAATAATATTTCATAGTCTCACCAATGACTCAACATTAAATTGACGTCCACAAAATTGACATGGTTGTAAACGTACTCGACGTATAGGATATTCTATCCAGTAAATAGTAGAACTCGTACGATATATATTTATTTCATATTCAATTCTTTACCTGTCAAATCATCATCCATTTTTTAAAATGAAATATATAGATGTGAATGATTTTTGCTATGACATGCATATGCATGAAGTAAAAAAAAAAAAAGAAAAAAGTGATCGACCAAAAAAAAAAAAAAGAAAAAAAACTTCTTCTATGGCAACAATAACATCAAAATGACAGAACAGATCGAAAGTTATTTCTGCCCTTTTTTGTCGTTTTAAAAAAAAAAAAAAAAAAACGATCCGATTAAAATTTTGGTAAAAAAAAAAAAAGTACTTCAACATAAATCGTCATCGATGAAGTGTTTATGTGATTTAAATTTATAAATTGACTCATTGAACATAAAGATCATATGACATGGAAACACTTGATCATGAACATTTATTTTTCAGTTAAAATTTTACTTTTACTTTTCCTTTTTTTTTGTTATTAACTTTGAAAAAAAACATAGATGTCGATTATTTGACTGCATTAAATATCCTCATGAAAGAAACAAGAGAATTTGACATGAAAAATAAATTCTTGATGTACCAACAGAATTTGCTATGAAGATATCATCAGAGTTTCATGTATGATCAAATAATTTTATTTGTTGCAAGTAATGAAAAAACAAAAACACATTTTGAAATTTTTTATCAACCTTTCAATTATTTTTTTTTTATCAGATTTTAAAAACTTCAATCAAACAAGAAATTTATTTATTCGAAAATGCACAAAAAAAAAATCGATATATAATCAAACATTTTTACTATAGATTTTCGAAAGACATTGATCTAATGTCATATTCTATTCTTTGGCTATGATTATATTGTATAAAGAAAAAAAAAAATACCCATGAGATTAGAATTATTATCAATCAATAAATAAATTCTAAAATATTTTATTATCGTCGAATAATTAGACGTAAAAGGTAGAAGACATTGAATCTAGTGTTAATAATATATATTCAGAACACTAAATCAAAGGTCTTCCAAATGAACGTCATTTAGATTTAGAACTAAAATAAAACCATTGACTTACATTTAAATCATATAAGTGAGTTTATTTTCTTATCATTATTCCCATGAGAAAGACGTTAATGATGCTGATTGAGGCTCAACAGCAGCTTGTTACCGAGAGTGAAATATATGTGTATGTGTGGAAAAGAAAAAAAGAAAAAAGAAAAGGTAGAATTTATGCAAATTTTCATCTTTTTAAACTAACTCGTCATTAATCATTACTGCTGATGGTTGGACCGACAGTAGAACAATCTAATAAAAAAGAAAGAGTCAGTATTGTCACGGCTGAATCGCGTTTATCTTTATTTTTCTTTTGCATACCCACATTCAATATAATTAAATCGTGTTTTTTTTTCACTTACTTGAAATGAAAAAAAAAATGTAGTGGAAAAAAGCTTTTCTTTTTTTCTTATTATTCGTTTGTTTCTAAGTGTCGTATAACACGATAATCGTACTGTGTAAAGTTCATCATCAATACTGGTCTTCGTTTTCTTTTCTTTCTTTTTTTTTTTTTTTGCTTGTGACGTTTTTTTCCCTTTGCTCTAGTGAACGATGACGAGAACCAAGCGTTTCACTCTGCTTTCTTCTCATTCTTTCTTATGGCTTCTTCTTAGTGTGAGTCTAATCTTTATTCTGAACGCTTTTTTTTTTCTTTCTTCTTTTCTTCTTATATCTTTACTTTTATATAGATACTTACGTTGACAAGATGCATTCAAGTTTCTAAACTATTTAGTGATATGTTGAACTAGTATAAATAAATAAACTTACTTGCTTTTATTCGAATGGTTACATCTACTTCATTTTGTTCCTCTTAAATGAATGAATTTGACATTCATTCTATCTAGTCTATTATTCTCACTTTTTTTTTGCTTTCTCTCATTTTTTTCTATGTCTTAAAAAAAATGTGAGAGAGTATCTACACAACAGTGACACGTACTCAACAGTTAAAACAAGAGAGAGAGAGCGCGATGGATGGATAGTTAGTCTGTGGTAGAATGTCGTCGACGAGGAGAGAAAAACTTTTTTTCCCTAGTGCATAAAATGAGTATATGAATGTAGTAAAAAAAAAAAAGAAAAGGTGAAAGAGAGAGAGAGAGAGTAAGCGTCTTCTTTGTTTTATAAAGAGAAAAAAGTGAGAAGTAAAATGAGATCAAATGAAATCTATCTATATGTTGTCAAATGTTTAGATAAATAGACTAGTCTGCCTATTTCTGTTAATAATTGATCGTTGTCACTAACAGGTGTATGAACATTCATTTTGTCGTTCTGTCATGTTTGTTGTCAAATTTTATATGAGTTATAATTCTTATCAGTGTTTCTGTTTTTTCCTTCTTTCAACTCAAATAATCTAAAAGAGACATATGCCCACAGCTGGTTATCTTTATCGCGTAGTTCTTTTTTTTTTTTTACCAACCAAAGCTTTAACGGAACTAACTTTAAATATCACATTTAGCTAGTCATTTGAAATCTAATAACATTAAAATGAAAGATAGATTGAATAAATGTTATCATCCGTCTATGTGTTTTTTTTTGTTGTTATTCATATATTTACTTAAACATCTGTCTATGTATGTAACTTGAATATGCGTTGATTTTATTCTTGCAAACAAACACAAATAGATACAAAAGAAAAACAAAGAAATTTGAATTACAAAAAAAAAAAATAGATTAAAAAACTATAATCGAATAGATTTATTTATTTATTTCAAAAATCATTTACTTTTATACTCATTTTTTCAATAAGAAAAGAAATCAAACATAACCACTATTAGGAATATTGCCAAGTGTTGGATACACTCCACTATTTCCATACGATGGAGTAGTATTGCTATTATTATTCGCATTATTAATTAAATGACGTTTGCTTGGTGGTATAAGATGATCAGGCAATGTATTTGGTAATTCATGACCATCGATTTTAATTTTAACTAAAAGAGAAACAAAAAAAAAATAGATATTCATCATTCTTAAAATCAATTAAATATTTTATGTAAAGAAATTGCATTTCAATACCAAAAAAGTACCAGTGTTCAATTTTCATGATTGATTAATAAACTTTGTGTTAGTTTTTTTTTGTGTTTGTTGTGATATATGAGTAGTTAAGGATAGATTAGATATTTCTACTTTATTTCACGTCGACATACTTGTAAAGAAAAAAGGAAATGTTGGAGATGAATTGTTTTCTATTCACTTTTTTTTTACGCATCGTCACATTTAACAATTAACTCTTCTTTTCCTTACAAGTATTAGACTTATGTAAGCTGAAAAAAGATATTTACTAAAATCTTTGTGTTTTAAATAAAATGAGCTGCTTTCAATTTCATAATAATATATGAGAATTAATACTCATGCAAAATTCTAAGTAGAATTCATCATAGATATTTTCTCTTATTTTACATGATTAAGATCAAATATGATTATTTAAAACTTACTAAGATGTTGAGATAAAGCCCATTCATCAATATCAAGCATACCATCTTTATCAATATCACTTAATTTCCATATACGACCAAGTACATTATTTGGCTATTAAAAAGAAAAATAAAAAGAAAATTTTTTTTATATGAAAAAAAATTTACAAGTTTGGATTTAATCATTTCTTGTCTAGCTGATGCACCACTAATTTTTCCATTTTGTGGTGAAAGTTGTACAAATACTTGATCATATTCATGTCTTGATCGTTCAACAATCCATTCATATTCACCAATACCAGCATTTATACCTTCAACACCACCTATTGCAAATGGTGTTTCTTGTTGATCACTAAATATTGTATTTCCTGATAACATTTGTCCCGTTGATGATTGTGTCTGTAATTGTAAATAAGCATGTTCTTCTTGTGGTATCATAGACATTAATTTTGGTACATCTTCAGATAACATTCTATCGACACGTTCAAGTAATTTTCGATCAAGTGGTCGAAATTTTGTAAAATCCTAAATGAAGAAAAAAAAAATAATTAAATTAAATTCGAAAACAAATAAATTTTCAAACGAACCATATTACGTAATATTTCTTGCATACGATCTAATTTAGGAAAATCACCTAATGGAATATTTTGTTCACGTTCAATTTTTTCATAAATTAAATGTAAATTCTAAAAGATGTAATTTAAAACTAATATATATTTAGTAATAAAAAAGAATATTACATTAAGTAATTCTCGCTGTTTTGCATCTTTACCAAATACACTTGGCATTTTTTCTTTTAATTCACTGATAATTAATGCATGTACCTATGATATAACAAATCTAAGTATTTAGTATTTTAAAATAATAATTCATTACTCGAGCCAATCGTGCACGTTTAATTAAATCATTCAATTTTCGTAGAGTTGCTGTTCTTGGTAAAGATTCTAAAAAACAAAAAAAATACGAAAAAACTTTCGCTTGTATTTTCTGTATTTATTTTGATTTAAATTATTTTCTTTTCAGTTCAAATCGATTTAAGCATGAGAATGACCGCTCATGGATAGTCAAACTAACAGAATATTCCTTTGACGTTCAGTTTTACAATTTCATTATATAATTAACTATGTGATATGTTTTCAGCAGAAGAATAGGGGAGACTTGAGTCAAAAATTAACGAACAAATGATTCGGAACTAATTATCGCCTTTGTTTAATGTCAGCTAAAATTAATGGTTAAGGCTTTTAGTTACAGTTGAAGTTACTGAATGAAGTAAATACTTTTTTTTTTAGTATTGCTTTATTATGAATGAAATAAAGTTACTTCGATTGAGAACTACTAATGTTTTGTTCGAAAATCGTTCCATCTATGATATTTATTCTAGTCCATTCTAGAAATGTGCAGATAAGCTTTTTTCGTATCAGTGCTCTATTCAGCGTAGGAGCCAATTGGAATATTTATGCATGATTCTGTTCGCTAAAAACAGAGGTAGCTCTTAGTATAGAATAGGAGATTTCAGAGCGATGATCAAAACTTGTATCCTAATTCCAAAAAAATAATTTTTGGATCTATAAGTGTAGTTCTTTTCTGTAATATAGATCAATGTTTCAAAACTATGGAAATAATTGTTCAGGTTTGTTTAATCACTGTCGAATATTCAATAGTTTTTTTAATTGAGTCTATTACCATTCGATCGACCATAATGAACACAAATTAAAAAAAAGTCTATTTTTATTTGGTTTTCTAATCTTTGCTGCATGTTCTATGCACATGGAATCTTGAAGAATTCAGATGATTGAATTTCGACAATAGATAGGCCTTACAGTCATTGGGAACATTCTAAAGTTTGAATTAGGATCAAGATATCCGAAGCTAGATATCAGCTTGTTACAGAAACAGTTTTTAGTGAATATAAGGCCTTAATTAATCCGATTTAATTTAGGAATTTTAATTTTTAACTATATATAAATATTCTTTGTAATTATGAGTCTATTACCTAAATCATTAAATAAATCTTTTGTTTCCAATTCAAATAAATGTCGATTTGTATCAAAATGTAAGGGTCTTGACCAAAATGAACCAACATAAACACGACAAACTTCTGGCGTATTAAGTACTTTTCCTAATGACCACATTAAAGCACCATAAACACGCATTAATGCTTGTTGATCAACTGAATCTGCTTTATTTAAAACAATACGTATTTTATCATCATTTCGTCTTAATACTTCAATAGCTCGTTTTAATTCATCTGATATATCTAATGATGTTACATCAAATAAAAGTAATATTCGATCAGCACGATCAGCAAACCATTCAAGAACTTGACTAAATTCATAACCACGATCAACACGTTGTTTTTCACCAGCTAATATACCAGGTGTATCAACAAATGTAATTGTTTCTAAAATTTCATTACGTATTTGTGATGAAACAAAACGATTTAGAAAAGCATTGCCAAATTTTGATAATGGTCGAAATGGTTTTGTTGGATCGACGACTAATGCATTACCTGGTACAATACCAGGATTTTCATTATGCATTATTGCAATGAATGAATCCGTTGTTGGTTCTATCAAAACAGATCAATATTTGCAAGAAATAAATATTCTTAGTTTTCTTTTTTTTTTTACCTGGGCCAATGCGAATACCAGGAAAGTCTTCCTAAAATTTATCAAAATAAATATTATGAAAATAAAAACAAAAATAGAAAAGATTTACATTTAATAGATAACGAATAAATGATGTTTTACCAACTGAATATTGTCCAACAAGAAGTACCATTGGTTTAGCTGAAAAATCACTGTCATCAAGTTGTGATGAATGAAATTCATGAAATCTATATGCTTCTTCAAGTGGTAATAATTTTGTTTTATAGATTTGTCGTAAACCTTCGGCAACATTTGTATAAAGTTCTTTTTTAGCTGGATCTTTTTTCCAGAAAGGCATCTAGAACAACAAATAAAACTTGAAAAATTATATAATATTAAAAATAAATATCTATGTTTTTTTTTTGTTAAATGTCCTTTTGAAGATATTCATGTTGATGAATCATTTGAAGTATACGAGCACATCTCACGATGAATGAATGAAACAAGTTAACAGTAACACTGACCCTCGGTATGATAAAAATGATGATGATTACTAATTTCTTATGATATATAAAATAAAAATGAATGAATAGATAGATAGATTTCAAACGAAGAATTAAACCACGTGAGAAAAAATGCTTGTTATTATTAAAAGATAAGATAAAAGAACTTGATGAAATGATAAGAATTTTCGATCGGATTTGTAAACTTTTGATGTGTCAAAGATGTCACTACTATACTTTTGTAATTAAGCTTTGAATGAAGTTTATTAAATTCAAAAGATATGTAATAAATCTATTTCGAGTTTAGATCAAATATTCTTTCAGATTAAATCTAGTTCTAACAAAAAAGTTTTGAGAAATGGATAACGAATTTGATCGAGATTATT